TTTCATGAACCACAGCATCCTTATATAACACTGCATATTTAATGATCATAAAGAAATAAAGTTAAGAAGATTCATAAAGCAGGAATCAGAAGCCAGATGTTTGCCTGAAAGCCATTTTCATCTACTCTCTCAGAATCAGTTACTTCTTATTAGTTAGGAAAGCCAACTTATTCTCTCATAATTCACAGATGTATAGAGTACTTTCATTCTGGTAAAAAAGAAAAGAAGCGTTCAACACACAAAAAGAAAGGCCTTGAAAATACCTGCTACATGGCAATGGATGATATGTACTCTATCATCTTATCATAAGTAAACTAAAGAGTATTTCCCCACATATACTTTAAAGTGGATATCATTATAAAAATTTCACCAATGTTCATGAGAACAGAAATCTCAAGCTTATGACAATTTTGCACACCATTAAGCAGCCTTCAGAGTGAGGATAGAGACTGTTCTGAACATGTTCTTGACACATTCTTTCATAGAAAGCTGGAGGTAGAAACAGCATATCCGAAGGTAATGCTATTCAGGAATGCTATTTACTTACTTAGAGATCATATTTCACTTGTATATCTATTTTTATTTATTTGTTTGTTTGTTTTTTTGAGACAGGATTTCACTTTGTGTAGCTCTGGCTGTCTTGGGAATCACTCTGTAGATCTGGCTGGCCTCAAACTCACAGAGATCCAATTGCCTTTGCCACCCGAGTGCTTACATTATATTTGTGTGCCAACAACACCCAGCTCTCACTTGTATATTTAAAAAATACAAGGTGGAGGTGATGAAAGAGAGTTAAGCAACCTGTGAGCCTCTAATTTCTTATGGTCAAGTCCACCCTGAGCTTTAAAGATTGTCTTAAACAGTGTCTAATAGGTAAGCCTATTATTAAATACAATTCAAACATGTGTTGAGTAGATCTTTTCTCTGGTATATCTTTTTCACATAAATCAGTGAACTTAAAGATAAATAAGAAAATGAGAATAGATTATTGAATCATGCATGACATATTTTAATGTATATGCCAGCATGAGCCTCCTGAAATGCCTCTCAGTGCTATGTATGTACTACTTGTGATTGTGTAATTTATTCTTGCTTATTTATCAAAAAATTTTTCTTAACATCATTGCCTAGGAAACTTGTTGTTATTATTCTATCCTGTTTCTTTTTTATGTTGTCAAAACAAGCTTAGAAATCATGAAATTTTGTGTGGATCTTAATAGTCAAATGATAGCAATTTGATATGTTCTCAATATTGTGTTCAACTTCATTCGACCAGAAAATAAAAGCTAATACTAGGGACCTTAAATATACCCAAGAGCTCTTGGGTCCTTTACCAATGTACTCTGTAAAGCGCTATCACATTGAATTTACAAAGGTAAAGGACACAATTATTTTCTATATCTATATGGTCCAACAACTAATCAGAGATGCCTTGGATTTTTGTGAAGACATCTTGAATTCTCTAGAGATCATGAATAATATAATCTAACACTTATTCTCAAAGGAATTATTTTTTAAAATTGTGCATATATATGTATATATTTGCTTCTGTGTAGAGGTATCTGCATGTGAACAAAGTGTTCAGGGAGACTAGAAGTTGTCAGGTCCCTGAGGCTGGAGTTACAAGCAGTAGTGAGACAAATGACATGGGTGGAAGTGAACTCTATATTGTCTGTAAGAGCATAAGTTACTCTTAACCATTGAGTCATCTCTGCAGCCCCCTTAAAAGAGAGAAACACAGCTCTGATAAGATGAAAATGAGTTGGGTAGGAGCATCTACTGACAAATATATAGATACATTATAACGTTAGATGAGCACTCAAGAGCTAGTAAAATTCTCTAATAATTTGTTTCTGATAGCCATATACAGATAAAACATACAATGTCAAAATTTCAGTTAGATGACCAGCTATAAAATCTACCATGACAGATCTTGTGTCATACCTTGTTAACCAAGATGTTCTTACACAATCAGGTTGTGTCAAAGCAGGAAATAAGTTGAGTACATATAGACAGTTCCGACTCTTGTCTGTCACCACCTTTCTTCTTCCAGCAAACAAACACTTTATTCTGGTTGGATACCACTAGTAAGTAGCACTGTTTTAATTTAAGATGAATCTCCTGATGCCTGTGCATTTATAACTCATCATAACAATTGACACAAAATGTTGTAGTTAGTGATTGTACATCTGGACTGTTGTCAGAATTCTAATGCTACATTTAATGAGTACAATTTTTTTTATCTAATCTCTAAAGCTAAGTATACATGATTTAAGTAGCTAATCTGTTACCCTGAAAATACATTTTAAAGAGATATTGGAATGAATTTCTTTGCACTAAAATCAGAAATAATGTCTGTGATTTTCTAAAGTAGTTATATTAGAGGTACCTTTATTAGAACTACAATTTATGAGTGTAGGAATTTTTCTGTGCACTAATGCAGATATTATTAGATTATGGATGAGAAGGTAGCCTTGCTAATGATTTTAAATTGTCCAACTCAACATTATAGCTCTGAACTTGAAATAAATGTGTTATTGGTGATCATCAGAATATATAACTGGTCCATAAAATACATTCAAGACAAGCAGAAAATAAATCATTTCATTATACTCAGGTAGCTTGTAGGTTCTATACATGTATAAATTGTGTGTATATCTTATATGACAAAGCAGTTTCCCTGATAGATATTTGTGTTTGTGGCAGACAGGAAATGATTCCAGAGAATATTAGGATATTATGTATGATACTACTTAACATCAATTAATAGGGATATATATGAATTTGTAGAAGATTGTAATTCCAAAAGTGATTTATTGATACTTTTCTTCATGTGTTTAAATAATGTACTCAACTGAATGACATCTGAATCTACAGAGCCCACCAATCTGGTTAAACTTGTAATGTTGTATTAAAAATCGGTCAAAGTTATGATAAGTGTCAATCCTAAGAACTATTTGATAATAGACTGCTATGTGGTAAATCTCAATACTTCAGGAGAGGCAGCTCATTTTACAAAAAACAGGGGTAAGTTGCATAAGTGCGTGTCAGAAATTTCAAGGATCATAGATCAGGCGTAGCTCAGAATTCCAGTGCTACTGCTTAGCAAGTTCAAGGAAGCAGGGGTATTTATTCTTGGAAATGAAAAAAAAAAGAATGCTTTTCAGGAATTGACAACACTGTTGTTCTTACAGGATATTTGTCCAGATTGTGTCCATAATGACTTCCAGCAGTTCCATAGTATTTATGTTCTGTACTGACTGCTTCATATCTCAGAGAAACACAACAAAGCAAACTGAGTGATGATTGAATATGACATTGGAATTTATAAACTATTACAGTAGATACTCAGGACAATATGACTAGTTACCAGGTGATTCTTCCAGTAACGCACTCACCCCAGGCACCTCTGCTGGGGTTTGATTGACATATTTCCTTGTCTCCATAATCTTCTAAATCACCACAGCCTCTGGCTCTTAGAACTGAAAGCTTTAACGCCACAGAGCCGGTACTTAGATTTCAGTTGTGCTCCCAAAATTCTTATGATGCATCAGTATTAAATCTCTAACACTGATATTATTCATGTGTAAAGTGGGATATTGAGTCACAGTATCTAACTGATAGGTTTTTATGAGTTTTAAATGAAGCCCATAGAGAGTCACATAACAACTGACACTAAACATAGTCTATGCTATTTTGTGTGTCTACATTGGGGCAAAGGGTGCTTTACAAAGTTTCTTGAACATTACCTATTTATTCATTGCATCCATCTATATATATGTCTTTATTAATTGTAGAGTAAGACAAACTTCTTTCTGGTTAGGAGAAATCATTAAAAGCAAGCTGTTGATGCTGGCAGTTTGTCTCAGTAGAAAATACACTTGCTATGCAAACATGGGCTCCAGAGTTTAAGTCACCAGAACTGACATAAAAGCCAGGTGGGTGTGGCTGCATGCTAATAACTCAGTGTAGGTAGAAGGTAGAGATAAAAAATACCCAGAGCAAGCTGTGTAGCCAGACTAACTGAAATGGTGAGTTTGGGGCTCCCTGACAGATCCTGTCTCAACTTATAAGGTAGGGAGCAATGGGGAACACCTAATGTCTGCCTCAGGTCTCCACATGCATATATATATATAAAGTGTGTGTGTATGCATGCATGTGTGTGTTTTACTTAATATCCTTAATAAAAGAAAGTGTTTCAAATTATTTAAATGGTTTCCCTGTTGTTGGACATGACATTTATTTATCATACATTTACCATTATATGTAAAATATGATGCTGAAGGTTTAAGTTTTCAAGGTTCAGTCTTGGTATTATGGACCAGACTTAGAGAATAAATGTGTTAATATACTGGACACATGAGCCAAGTTATGGACATTGATGTAAAAATATGACAGAATTGTGTGGTAATGTACAGATATGTACATTATCTGAGGCACATGAGATTCTGAGGCAAAGTTGTAAGTTTGAAGCTAGACTGGGCTACATAGTGGAATCTTGTCTCAAAAAGAAAAGAAAAACTTTTAATGAATGAATAACAAACAAACATCCTATAATAGAGTAGGCAGAGCTTAAAATATCCAACAAGAGTATATCGTATCACAGTCTTGCCCTGCCATGGCAAAATTTGGGTGCTTTTGCTGCTCTTGAATGGACAAATGAAGAATTCCTAAATTTCTAGAATCTGAAGAGAGGACCTCCATGGATTAAAGTGTGACAGGGGAGGAGACACTAATCCCCCGGTGCACTCATAGGTACATGCTTTGGAGAGCTTCACTTAGGCACTTGGATTTATTCCCTATTGCACCAGCTGGCAGCAGGATTCTTGAGTTGATTTTATTATCATTTTGATGATATAAATAGTATGTCCTCCTTGTTATATTGCTAGTAAATCTAGGAAATAGATCTCATTACTTCCTCCATACCTTCTGTGTTACTCAGGACTCCATGTACTAAACATTCAAATGCAGACATTTTTCCTCTTTTTTGTTTTCTAGACATGACATTATTCCCATTATTGTTGTTCCTGGTTGCTGTATTGCCCACAGCCCTTCCTCAAGATGACTATGAGGTATGGGTAAGATTTAGTATCTTCTCAGAACAATTTAGGTAACTAAAAGGCCAGAGTGTGGAGTAAGTCACTTTGATCCTCAGCAATAAACACACACACACACACACACACACACACACACACACACACACACACACACCAGGGTGGTTAAGTATATCTACTACACAAACAATAAGTATGTACATGAGCCAAGTATTTATTATTTATAATATATTCTCTTACTTAGCCAATCCCAGATGAAGCTCAGTCACTTTCTTTAATGATGGAATGTGTAGTTCCAGAAAAAATACTCTCCCCTTAGTTAGAAAGCTACTAAAATTTAGAAGCATTGATCATTGCTGTAGCCTTCATTCTCTTCTTTGGCCTCTGCATTGAAGACTACTAGAATTCCTCAAAATTATGGAGTGCGAATATCTGGTTAAACATGTTTTCAAATATAAGTTATCTGTCTTTTGTTACCATAATCAAATTAGTAACATGGAGACAATTATCTAGGTTTTCTTTCAAGTTGTTCACATTCCCAGTTTCTTTCCTAAAATGATTGTATTTTAAGTTACCTTGGACCATCTATTATCCTCTCGCTTCATCCCTTCTTCCTACCTTCTATCTTTCATCTATTGATACTTCTTTATAAGTTTTCAAGATCTAATAGCAGGGAGATTCAAGCCATGTTTTATGAATGAAGGCTTCTATGAGAGTTACCATGGAGAACTGATTCATCTTTTGGTGTCATTTATTGTTGTTTCTTTTGGTTTTACTTTGTGGTGTTGTAATTATTAGGTCACATTTCTATCCAAAACAAACCCTTAAACATTTTATTCTCACATTTCAGTGTTCCTAGTGTGATTTACTTTAAATCTGTACAAATTCCTGCTAAGAAAATATAAGCACACTTATTATCTCTTGGAATTTTTAGCTACCACGGAAGGTAGCATAACAAGCAGAAAATAATAACGGCTTTCTCAGAAGCCATATATTTGTCTTTGGAAACAAAACCTCTTTAGATAGAGTTTTCAGGTTAAAATGAAACATCTGCGTGTGGGGGGGGGGTTGGAGAGATGGCTTGTGGATAAGAGCATTTATTGCTCTTGAAGAGGACCCTTTTTTTTCCAGCATCCACCTCAGGTGGCTTACATCCACGTGTAACACACACTCCAGGGCATCTGATGTTCTCTTAATGCTTCCACTGGCACTGCACTCTTCTACACAAACCCATATTCAACTCAAACATATACCCTTAACTTTAAAAAAATTTAGAAAATGATGCCATTCCCTTAATAAATAAATGTCTTGGGATATTGTTACTTTGCATTAAAATAACATGTGAGGATTTTCAAGCAATGACTTTAACATGTACACCCTTTCTGCCTTAGAAATCACTGGCTGTGAGAGATCTTTTCGCACAAGGCTCTCATTAGTGCCATCAGAACATAAAACATTAGGGAGAGATGGACATGTCGCAGCCACTGGCAATGCAGTATGATTAGATCCATGGATGCAATGTCTACAGAGACTTGGGGGAAACAAGACTGCAGGAAGGAGAAACAACTGATCCCAGCAATAAGATATGTATATGAGAGTCAGTCCATCAATAGTTATGCTGTAACATCTTGCTTTACACTATAAAACAGCACATTTTGGAGTATGTTTGTGTCAGTAAGTGGCTCTTATATCTCTGCCAACACACAATATCACTCCATCCACCTGTGCCACACAAATGAAATTTAAAATTAAGTATCAACATCTGAGCTAACTTAGCAGGGTTATTACTGTCCAGTGAAATGTAAAGTCAGTAATGCTCAACTATTTTCAAGAACCCATTGTCTCCAAATTGACTTGGATATTCTATTAGATAAAAATGTCTTTGGAGAAATCACAAAACCTGTTCCATATAAAATTCTCTAATGCATAAATGTATTGGCTAAGGGCCTACACATTATTTCATGTGCTTTCACACTCCTGGTCAGATGGCTAATGTCTCTTAAGGTCTATAATAAATTATGTCTTCATAATTATGTAGCACTTCCTTGCTACAGCCTGAGTGTAAATGACTTAAGGTTCTCTACCATTCACGGCTATTATTATAGGTCTCTCTTAAATCAAAATTGACATTTGTAGCCTCAGAAGAGGTTTTACTTTGACATGCCAGACATTCATTCTATTCTCCAAATTTTTAAAGTGTTTCTAATAAAAAGGCATAGATTTTCTTAAATTTATTATCAAGTCTTAATGACTAACATTGGCCTGAATAATTTAAAATGACTTTCATTAACTTTAGACAACTTATTCACCTTTTTATACAATCTTAATATGCTGGGAGCCATCCCCAGCAATGGATGGGTCCTGCAGATGGTGTGAGGAGTTGGCGGGGAAAGAAGTGAGCCAGGCCATGGTGGTCGGGAGAATCTTGCAGCCTGACTGACTAGCAGCCAGAGTGTTTCTTTATTTATACAGAATTTACTTAGCAGGGATATATTCATGATGTTCCAAAACAGAGATCATATCATTTTTGTTTTTGGACATGTGTTTCACTTCCTTTTGCTCATCTTTTTGTCATCATTAATAAACTATGACAGAACAGAGTTATCATTTCCAATAATTTCCCCTCAAGTATTGATATCATTAATAAACAGAGTTATCATTCTTAATCATTAACCCCATAACCCAATTTTTGAGAATTTAGAGGCGTATGACAGCCTGTGCTCAGGCTGGTTGTTTTGGTTGCTTCAAGGACACTAGACCAAAACAAAAATCTTCAAACACTCTGGACATTTTGCCATGTCTCAAGCAATGTATTATTAACTCTTAATGATCAGAGCACCCAGGAAAAATCCTCAGGCTAAAACTGCTGCAGTTATTATTTAAATTCTGGCATAATACAATCAATGTTCACATTAATATCCTTATAGAATTTGTCTATATGTCTAATCCTGGCATTCTGTTGTTCCTTGGTCATATGACATTATAGTGGTTCTACATGAGCTAACTTCTAACAGAAGGAGGTCCTAACATCTCATACTTTTATAATCTTTCTACTCCATAATCTTCTTATCAGTATGTCTCTATGTAGGGCAGAGTTGTATGTGACGTAATTGTCTGAGTGTACAGTGGGAAGAAGCTTGTAATCTGAAATGTGGGCAATTCCTCTAGCCCACTATATCTTGTTGACCTTTCTAATTTTAGTTTGTTTTGAATATCTTGTTCCAGTGTAAGTGCAGGGACAGATGTCTCAAGAATGTCTCATAGCCTCATGAAGAGACCTCTGGCTTCTTCTTTATGTGTCACAACCTCCAAGGCATAAGGAACACCTTCAAGTAGATAAGGGTATCTCCCTCAAAGTGTGTGTGGGGGAATGTTCAAGACTTTCCTGGATAAGCTTAGAAGCAGAATTCCTGGGAGAAGGCATAAATGATTCATAAGAAATTTTCCATCAACCCAATATCCTCAAATCGTACAAATATTAAAAGTGCCCCAAGTATGTAACAGGTGGAGATGAAAATCAAAAGTAGCATGGCAGCCATCATGTGGCTCAGCTTTGCTAGATTTGTCAAGCAGATGTGCTGGCTTTATGACTTCTGCCATTCCATTCAGGTATGGCTGTGCCATTAATGTACACTAACATGACTTTAATTTAATTTTCTTTCAGAATAAAAATTTTGAGGATTTGACAACCACTAGAGTGTCAGTCCAAGAAGAGATTGTAAACAAGCACAACCAACTGAGAAGAATGGTTTCTCCACCTGGTAGTGACTTACTAAAGATGGTGAGGGCTCACAACAGGACAGTGCATTTGGAGAGCTGTGTTTGGAGCCTGAGGATAGCATCTGGCTTCTGCTGTGTGCTTTAAAAGTGTCTACCTCTATTCTAGCTCTTCTCTTTAAAAAAATAAACAAATGTATTCATTGTTTTGTTTATGTGCATGTGCGTGGGTGTGTGTCCATTATATCAGAGTTGGTTTTAAACTTCTATGTCTTTAGCTGTGCAATGATCAGAGTAGAATTTATTAAATTTCTTTTATAACAGTGACTCATTGGTATTATGGAGCTATATCAATTATAGTGACTGAACTAAAATCAAATCTTTTGAGTTTGTTCTCCAGTGAAATGCCACTATGTTATTTTGGCTGACTCTTCTCTCTCCTAATCAGGGTCAGAAAATTTCTCCTTTAAGGTCAAATAACCATTTATCTAAATAGTCTACTTCCTGGATCCAGAACCAGCATCCATGTGTCTCTTAAATTCATTTAATGAGTGAAAAAATGAAGCTAGAATTAATGAGGCAACTTCTTACAGCTGTAAAAATAGTCTTAGTCCTTCAACATGGTTAGTGCTACTCACTCTACAGCAATTACTCAATTTTTAAGGATTCCTATTGTGATTTCACTAAGTCATTAGACCATTAAAGGTTTAGCGTTTTTGGTGGCCTTGGAAAGACAGACTACTTGTATTTATTTGGTACAGAAGAGGCCATATACAAGTTGGAGTAACTTTGGACATAGGTTATGAAACTAGTAAGAAGATCAATGTTGGGAGTTGGGAAGGGACTCTAGAAGGCATGGGAAGTGGAAGGAAAGAGAACATGTGTGACATCAAATGGAGGCTGTGGGTGAGAGGGCATGCATGGGAGGATGGGCAGGATCAGGAAGATAGGGGGAGGAAAATATGCAAAAATAAACTTTCTTATAAATGCCACCATAAATGTTGATAATATATATGCTAACACAAAAATTTAGACATACACTATACTATATATTGATTATGATGAAAACCAGAAGGTGCCTACAGATATTTTGCAATGTTATTAGCCTGTCTGCAAAAATCATGTGACCCTGATGTTTGAGTTATTCCATGGTTATCTTCTTTTTCTTCTCTTTAGCAATGGAGCAATGATGCCCGAGTGAATGCGCAGAGATGGGCAAGCCAGTGCACTTATGAACACAGTGCTCTAGAAGCCAGGACCACCAGTATGTAAACTCAAAATTACTTGCAAAGGAATGGAGACTTACAAAAGAAAGCCCCTTTTCTCATACTGTGCTGACAAAATGTTATAAATAAATATGTATTTTGATACTGCCTTTTTTAAATGTTAAATATCTGTGGGACAGAGATGGCTCTGAAAGGCTCCACTTTGTGTTTTATATTTTACACAAACTGTCTTTCCTGAGGCCAGTTTTGTGCTTTGCAATCAGATTTACAAGTGAAGCAAGGTATGGATCGTCTCTTTCTCTGCTTTGAAGATTAGAAACTGATGTCTGGATGAAAATTATTACCAAATATGGCCTTATAAAGGAAATTTGAAATTAGAATCTTCTTTTTAATTTTAGCCTATTATGGTTTTAATTATGTGTTTGTGTGTCTCTGTGTATTTATGCATGTGTGCATGTATGTAAGAATGCTTCTAGAGGCCAGAAGAAGGTACCAGACCCTCTGGAGCTTACAGGTTACAGGTGGTTGTCACAGGTGGTGGTAAGCTACACTGTATGGATGTTAGGAGTTGGACTTAAGTCTGCTGAAATAGCAAGGTATACTCCTACATGCTCAGCCATTTCTCCAGCACTCTGAAATCAGAATTTCTAACTATAACCCAATTATTAATGATGTGGCTTGTTGAGGTTCCAAGCTATATTTTTAATTATAAAAATATGTTTAATTTGATCAGCTAATTCTTCATTTTTCTTAAGAAATACCAAATATCTTGGCATTTACCTTGACTACTTCATTTATTATTTTTGGTGGGGAGGAGACAGGTCCCACTGTATAGCCCAGGATATCTTCAAATTTCTGACCTTCCCACCTTAGCTTCCTAAGTACTGGGATTTTATGTGTAAGCCACCATTGTGTGTACACTCAGCTCTTCCTTCCTTTTTGGGAGATCAACTTTTGTACACTTTGAGTGCCTGAAATAACATATTATGTTAAATTAAAAATAATCTATGAAAAATATTTACATAAGGAAGTATAAAAATGATAACAAAATTAATAAATGGACCATGAGATAAAATATTTCTTGAGATAATAAAAATGATCACCTTTGTCTCAATTTGAACCTAATAAATTAATAACCTCTTTTAAAGATTTACTTCTTAGGCATTTCTAATTTAGTAATAAAATGACTAAAAATTCATTAAAAAGGCTACAATATTCAGTTACAGTTTAAAGTAATTTTTTATTTACAGAGCTTGATAAAAATAATAAGCTATTTTGGGGGGTTAAAAGATGCTTTTTTCCCATTCTCTGAATAAAATTTGGCCCTTGGAGTTTTAATTTTCTAGTTAAGACATGACTGTAACATGAAATGTTAAATGGTCTTATTAATAAAATACCTGGATCCAGACACTTCTTACCTCTAGGAAATCCTCCAGCAAAGAGAGAACTACTTCCTGTACATTCATGACTATATAACTTTCTGAGCCCAGCCATCTTACCTCTTCTCTCCACCCAGCTACATCACTTCCTCTTCCCACACTATTCTATCACTTCCTGTCAGTCTGTATAAACCTCTAGATTTCTATGGTTAACTAGTGCTGGTCTTAAAGGTGTGTGCCACCAGGCCTGGCTCTGTTCCCAGTGGGACCTTGAACTCACAGGGATCTGGATAAATCTCTGCCTCCCAAAAGCTAGGATTAAAGGCATGTGCTACCACTGCCTAGCCTCTATGTGTAACATAGTGGCTATCTTTTTCCTCTGATTTCCATGAAAGCTTTATTTATTAGAGCACAAATAAAATATCACCACACATGACCTATAAACTTCGAAAATATAATCCTTTCTATTTTGTTTGCTCTGTACTTGTAGTTTTTAAAGAATGACTATAAAAAGGCTCACACAGAACAATAATCCTAAATATGTAAAAATGTTATAAAAAATATCTAGCTACTCAGGAGAGACATGAATGGAGTTCGTCTTGGTCTTAAGACTGCAAATCCACATTTGGTACACATGAGACACAGGCATGCACACACGTGAACACAAATGTGGAGAATTTAATGTATGGATAAATGAGTTCAAGGAGAGAAGCTACTGAAGAAAAGACTTCTCTATCTACTTAGTGCTCATGGTGTTTAGCACACATGTTGAATACCTATAGCTACTCTGCAGATAAAGTAAAGATAAAGGTCTGAATCATATTTCTTATGCAATATTCAAAAAAAAAAAAAACTGTGAGGGGTTGGGGATTTAGCTCAGTGGTAGAATGCTTGCCTAGCAAGCGCAAGGCCCTGGGTTCGGTCCTCAGCTCTGAAAAAAAAAAAAAGACAAATAACAGAAAAAACAACAAAAAAAAGAAAAAAGAAAAGAAAAAACCCAAATAAACAAAAGGAACTGTGAGCAATGACTTTAAAAAGCAGGGATTTGTGTACGTGCATGCGTGGATGCGTGTGTGTGTGTGTGTATATGTGTGTGTGTGTGTGTGTGTGTGTGTGTGTGTGTGTGTGTGTGTGTGTGTATTCTTCTTTTTTCTTTATTGCTGTCTTTGTGAGTGTTCTGTCTTTTTCCTTAGACTTAATATGTGGTGAGAATATCTTCATGTCAAGTTACCCAGCATCATGGTCTCGTGCAATCCAAACCTGGTATGATGAAGCCAAAGATTTCAAGTTTCATTCAGGCCCGAAATCACCTAATGCAATAATTGGACATTATACTCAGGTAAGAAAAATACTCTCTCTGTAAGTTCTAGGCAAGGAAATATTTTTAATTACTTGACTGATTTCAATAAAGAATTTCAGTGCAGAGAGTTTTTATTTTCTTTTTGAGACATGGTCTCACTATGTAGCTCAGACTGGCTTTAAACTTCCTGTCTTCATATCACATTCTCCCAATTTCAAGAAATATAAAGAAAGTGCACACCAACTGTATGCCTTGGGGAAGATCTTGAGTGGTTGGTTGTAAATCAGTCTTGACACTCATTGGCTGTTTGAGCTGCCATCTTTCAATGGTTTCTCTAATCTTTGTAAGGGAACATGTTTTTTTTTTTTTGTAACCATAATTTCTTGACTCAAGTCCCCAAACAGGGGTAATGGCCTATATTCTAAGGCACCTCCCCAGACTTAACAGGGCTGTACATCTATATGGCTCTTGTGTGAAAAGAAGAACGGTATCTCCTGAACTTTTATTACCAGAAACCCTGACAGCTACCTTCCTGCTGGATCTAAAGGCCTGGGCCTGGGGCCCTTTCCTATCAAACAAATGACTCTTTCAGCAAGAATAATAAGACTGTGGCTCCATCCTATCCACTGTCAAAGAGGGCTTTCCAAACCTAGGAAGAAGGTGATTTGGGATTCCTGCTTGGCAGTGTAGAGAGAAGATCCAGTTATGGTATAGGCACGCAGCAGGTCCAAATCAATGGCCTGATGGATCCTGCAGTCTGAGAGACTTGAGCTGAATCACAGTTTCAGCAGGGAACCAGGATATTTAAGCCCAAAGCTCCACACAGAAAAAACTACCACATACAACTTCTAGGAAATATGCTGAGTATCAGCTTTCCACCAAGCAAGGCTTGCAGCCACTCATGATTCCTGCCCTCCTAGAAAAGAAGATACTCATGATCACAGCTTAGTATCAAACTGGAAAGTCTTTTCTGAGATGCAGGGAGAAAGTTCTGGCTCATCTTCCAAGGCCAGGGTTCATAAAAGCACTTCAGAGTAGTCACCAGGAACATCTTGGTCAGTTTGATGTCTGACCAGGAATTGACCTGATATCCAGGTTACCTTCTAGCTGTTTATGATCGTATGCCTGTAGGATTGGAAGCAGTGAAATTCTACATCACACCAGAATCCTCCTGGTGTCCATAGATTCTTTGATGCCTTTCATTTTGACAGGAAGCTCCTTGGCCTCAGCCCAGCCTTCTGCATCCTCATCATCATGGAAACTGTCAAAGATGACAAAGAAGAAGAAAGCTTCTCTGAGATGGGGCCGAAGCCACTCTCTGCCTTTATAAACTCCACTGAGTGCTTCCTGAAAGTTTTGCCAGACTGGCTGAAAAACAGCAGCCCCTTAGGGAAGTTCTAACATCTGTAGTTTGATTCAATCACTTAAATATGTCTATAAGGCATATATAAACAAAGTTACCAGTGGTGTTTTTAATTTTGTGGGTTTTTTTTTTTTTGCATTATTTTCCTCTATGAACTGTGCCCTCTCTTCTTCTCTGGGTGTATAGGTTGTTTGGAACACATCTTACCAAGTTGCCTGTGGAGTTGCTAAGTGCTATGGGGAATTACTGAAATTCATATATGTTTGTCACTATTGTCCTCCGTAAGTATCCACTTCAAAGTTCATTTTCAACAACACCAAATGAAACTTGACATTTTAAGATTATTGGTATAAAAACAAATTAAAGATATAGTTTACACATGGAGAGGGAAATAAAAACTTCTAAATATTCCCTAGAGTTGAAACTTATTTAACTAAATCTTTGAAATGTCCGTCTCATCAGTTCCATGAATCATCCTCGGAAGCGTTTTCCTCATCTTTAAGAATGGTTTCTCTTCCCTCCTCCATTGCTGTTTTCTGGACTAATGGTGACCTCATGAGGACCCAAGTATAAGGATAGTGAATTCATATTGTCTGTTCATGCTATGTTTATAGGCTACAAAGCAAACTTTTAATAGTAGACCAAGAGTGAGCATGAGTGAATGACACAGGTTAGTGATTGTGGGCTTCTAATTAATTGATCCTACCCCTGATTATATAAGCTGTTGTATCTGTTTTTAAAATTTAATTATTAAGGCCCAGTAGTGGTTCACACCTTTAATCCTAGGACTTGGGAGGCAGAGTCAGGCAATCTCTGTGAGTTTGGGGCTAGCCAAGGCAACACAGAGAACCACTGTCTCAAAAACCCATAAAAAAGTTTGTTTTATTTTTTTGTGAATTTCATATAGGAGTACTGTATTTCCTTCATTTCCACACTTCCCTCTAACTGAAACCTTCCTACCTCACACTCCCTGGCAAATTCATGATCTCAGCTTTCTTATTGTACATGAACAAAGCCACACATGGACAAACATAGATGCAGATGTAATTAAAATATTTTTAAAAACAAATTAAGTTAACACATTATGAAAATACATTCTTTTTTTCTCATGGGAATTTTTTAAGAGCTCAAACACAGCATAGAAGGGAAGTGAATTTCTGGCTTTAAAATCAAGATCTAGAGAATGAGTTTTTCAGAATTTTTAGTAAATTCTTAGGAGAAAGATAAGATTTTAACTTTCTAAACTATTTGAAATATATTAAGGACCTCTCAAAGAGCCTTTGAAGTTGAAGAATTCATAAATTCTTAGAAGTATAAGGTAGCAACACAGGGCTGAAAAATGACTCAGTGGTGTAGAATTTTTGCTGTTCTTGAGGATCCAAGATTGGTTCCTAACAACTGTGTCAAGTAGGTCATATCTATTTTTAACTTTAGGACTAAGGACCTGTTTTGGCCTTTGTGGGTGTGTGGGTGTTCACATGCACAAATAAAGCAACAAAAATTAAGCTCGGAAAAATTGCAACCAGGCTAGTCATTGTTACGGTTTTGCAGAAAGATAAAACTATTGGTTATTTTCTCCCTTGGCAGCTTACATAGCATCTTTTAATACTATGAGAGCTAATCTGGAAGAAAGAGGTTTCCAGGTCAATTCCAGCTCAATTTCTCCAACTCCTGTGTCTGAATTTCGTGATGGTTTTAACAATAGGCTCTTATCTTTGACTTCAGGAAGGTAACCAAGGGTGATAACAAAAGGTTGTATTGCCCTGGATAAGGAGCTATGGGTAATCTATGGGTGTTGAGCAAGGATCAGTTTCTTAGGGAAGAGACTCCTGATAAGTTATCCAGGGCCAGGTTGTCAACCCTAAACACTGTAGAGACCAAAGTCATCAAATTCTGTGGAACTGGTGTTACAGACAGTTGCAAACCACCTGAAGTGGATGCTGGGAACCAAACTCAAGTCTTCTAAAAGAGGAATATGTACTCTTAAGTGCTGAGACATCTCTCTACCTCTATTATCCTTTTATAAAGAAACCTGTACAACAAGAGGCTGAGGGTCTTCAAATCAAGTCTTTTAAATGACTCATTTCTAATCTGTTTGTGGGTTGAATAGTAGGATCCTCAAAGAATTGTCAAGCATGTTTCTGTTGGCACTAAGTAATACGAAGAAGGAAGCCACTGGACTCAATCCAGCTGCCTTGACAAATAGGCATCTGGAGTGAGTCTGGCACCTAGAAGTGTCAGAGGAGTAATGAAGAGGAGCAAGTGACAGATCTTGTACACTGCTTTCTGACTTTTTCATTCTTAACATTGCTCATACACCTAGAGCTGTATTCTGCATATAGAGGAGAGTTTCTGCTGCAAGCCCTTGGGCATTGCACACCCCCTGCCACCCTTAGTGCAATGGAGAATCTGACTTTTCTAATTTCCTGTGATGATCAGGGAATTGATGCTCCTACTGAGGTACAAACTTGGCATTTTCAGAGTACTGAACCCTTCAGATTGCTTGTATAAAGGGTTTTTCTCATTAACATTCTCATTTTGATAAGCATAGAAGTCACAAACCCACATGCTACCTTCAGAAATCCCCAAACATTCCTAAACATTAGGACTTTCCCAATTATACACTAAATACCTGAAACTCATTATATCATCAATGGGACCTCCTCTACACTATAGGAATCACAGCATATACCTGTATCTAATTTTCTCTATAGGAAATACCTTTTATACCTAAGCAGCATTCCTGACATAATTATTTTTCGGGTTTATCAAGAAATGAAGAGAGTGTTTCAACATTAAAATGTTTATAACCTTTAGAGTCTTATTTACTCTATTTCAGTTGCTCAGGTTCTGAGATGATGGTTGAGGGAAAGAGTGAATGGATTAATTATCCCATTTTTTCACATCTCTGTGTGAATACTCTTAATAAATGTTAGGTTTTTATATGGCATAGCTAAAGCTTTTAATAGGAATCCATATGTATATGAAAATATATATTGGTGATATATGCAAACATTAGAATGTACAGAGAAAAATTAAAAGTATTTGATTTTTGCATTTCAATTTCAGTGGTAATTTTGTAAGAAGGCAATACATACCTTACACAATAGGACCACCGTGTGCCCTTTGTTCTGATCACTGTGATGATGGACTATGCAGTAAGTTTTATTAACGTACTAATATAATAATATAAAATATCAATCTATTTTAAGATTTAATAGCATGGCCTTATTTTCAAGAGACAAAAATGTACTTAATATCATTTTTAGAATTATGTATTTTCCTTTGTTTAGAATGTATGTACTTTTGACATTGAAAAACATTATAATTTATGTTGTCTAAGGAAACACTTAAAATCAGTGCATGCTTGTAACTATATTAGTATTATTGCTGTTGGAGTCTACAGAAATATTTCTGTGGCTATAATTCACCAAATTTAAAGTGAATTTTCTTATCCTCAATGACTTTAGGAACTTAAGATTGGCATTTTAAGAAGAGAAAGCACTGTAAATCTAAGTGGTCAGCCCATAGAACTAAGAAATATACTACAATTCTTTGCCCAACAAGTAGCTTAGCACAGTAAATTCCCAAACTCCTCTGGAGCATCATTTGAATTTTGTATTACATTTTTATTTATTTGTGAATGGGTGTTTGTGTCCCTCTGTATATGTACAGACACATGCATGTGTGAAATGGCTTCTGTGTGTGATTGTGTGTTGAGATTAGAGGACAACTTGTGTGAATTAGTTCTCTCCTTCCATGATAAAGGTATGAGAAATTGATCTCAAGTGGCTTTGTGGCAAGTACTATTACCTTGATCCATCTAACTGGCCCTAGATTGTTATTTGAATATCCTTCCATTTAGTCATCAGTTACATGATTTTTTAAGCCATTTTCTGTGCATTATTAGAGTCTAAATCAAGTCTATACATATTATAAGTACTTTAAAAACGTTAATATTTCATCACAGGAAGGGAGTGAAATGAATGTCATAGTATCTTGTTTTTAGTATTATTACGAATATAAATATAAAAATAAATATAATCCCAACTTTCTGAGGGCAGAGGAAGGAGCATCAGGAGTTCCAAACCAGTTTGAAATATTGATCTATCCTAGGAACAAACAACAAATAGAAAGACTTAAACAGAAATAGACAGAAAATTATCTTTATTTTTATTTTTGTAGTTTTTAAATTTACTTATTTGTGGTTTAGGCCATTTTCAGTTTTGAAATAGGGTCTCACTACATAACCAAAGCTGATCCAGAACTCACTATGTAGTCTAATCTGAACCCAATCTTCTGGAACTTCCTGCAATCATTTCCCACGTGTTACAGAAATTGTATCCTCCAAATAGGTCTTGAAAAAAGCATATTGAAAGAGCCAGTTAGGAGATATAGATACAGAACTAGTTATTTTTGTGTTACTGCTCTAAAAGTTATGAAAATGGCTTGCAGAGAGAGAAGGTAGAATAAAAATATTTTTTTGTTAATTGTGTTTGTCCAGAGCTTATAAACATAGGCATGTACACGGACAAGCGTAAAGGGCAAAAAGGCCTTGTGCACACAGATAAGCACCAGGGAAGTGAGGAAAGTTGAACATATACCTTATCTCTTCAGTGGAATGAGATGCATAACTGCTCTTTCTGGAATGTCAGGAATTACAGGTTTTACACCCTGGTGATCCTTTGCTGTCCTATGAGACAGGCTCCGCCGTATCTCCCAGAATTTGTTTTACTTATACTAGACCCTTTATCTGTAAATCTTCAGCAATGATGCTAGGTCATAAAACCCATTCTTATGAGTGATGTCACTTGTGCATTTCAACAGCCTAGTGACTTCTATGTCATCTTAGGGCCTGACCAATCCTGACACCCGCAGGGATTATGTTTACATCAGTCATCTTCCTAGACCCTAAATCCTGGGCACTATCTCTGAGTCAACAGTACCCACTCTTATGAAGGAAGCCAGATGTACTTTGTAAAGAACCTCAATGTAAACATGTCTTCAATTGCTGTGTACTTGGGACTGAGTTAATTGTTATCAGAAAACTTTTTTTTCCAAAATTATGCTGGACTTAAACATGGCTAACGTGAAATGGTCTGGGCCAGACTCTAGAAATCCTGGCCTAGCACTGTTATCATAAAATCAGGCTGAGTTTCATTCTTATCTCTTCATGGATCATGTTTTTTTTTTCCTCCTGCCAGCTGTAAAGCCTGCAGAGAACCACCACACAAAGTGAAAGAGGACTAGCCATGTGCCTGCAGTGGTGTTTCTCTGGAGGTGGAATTAGCAGAGGTATATGATTGTAAGGGCTAGATTCTAGCCTAGGCAACAAACAGGACTCTGTCTCAATAAACAGGACCAAAAGTACGGGGTATAAACAAGTTATTTTGAATGAATTGATAATTATGAGTTTCCAAATCTCTGAGACTGGGTGAGCTGAATGGAGTTTCATGAGCTGTCAATATACATCTAAGACATGACAAAGACTGCAGAGTCATGAAATTCAAATGAGTTTTCTTGAGTTTGTGGTCACTGCTGGACATTTTAATATAAATATTTAATTATCAGAGGAAAACTCTCTACTATCTACTTTTCCAAATCTGTATTCATAAAATTAGCTCCTCTGGTATGAAAAACAGAATCAAAGTTTAGGGCAATCATGGACAACAGAATATTCTGGAATGATTTAATGGTCAGTAGTTTTACATAAAGAGGCTGGCTGCTAGGAACAGTATCTATACAACATATCAATGAATCTTGTTTTGCTGAGAATATAGAGTTGAAATATTAACCATACTTAAGTTTAGAAAGTACTTGTATAATGGCTGACATTTTAAATAGTGAGGTTCTTTTTTAGAATTTATCTTTATTTTATGTTTATAAATGTTGGTGTGCATGTATGTACTTATGCACATACATTTGAACCTAGTGACCATGGAGGACAGGAGAGAGCATTGGGTCCTATGGAACTGCAGTTACAGGTGGTCTTAAGCCATGATGTGGATTCTGAAAATCAAAACCAGTTCTCTGCAAGAGCAAGGACTCTTAATAACTGAGCCATTTTTTTAGCCTCTAGATAGTTTAGTTCCTCAAAGAACCACTGACGTTAATTTTCTCAAGCATTTTGTGAGTGAAGAAACACATTAATTCATATCAAAGACATGTCATAAAGCTCTAATTTTAAAGGATATTTATTCATTTGCTCAATCCCCTTCTTCCATTTCATATGTTTTATTTTGTCACTGCTAATAGAGGAAAATAATAACAAAGTAATGAATTTCTTTGTTTCTTTTTTTCAGCAAATATGAATACTTGAATATTCGGTAAATGTGAATATGAAGATAAGTATTCTAACTGTGCAGAATTGAAGGCTTCACTAACCTGTGAATATCCAATGGTTAAACAAGAGTGCAAAGCTACATTCAACTGTGAAGGCAATATTCATTAAATTTCTAGTACAAATGAACAGGGCTATGTGAAGAAAGAGCACCTCCTCTACTTAGGCTAGTTACATTCCACTAGACAATTTGAGGTATAGATACATTGAAATGATTCCAAACAGTAAACATTCCTTTCTTCTGTATCGTTCTATTTAGTAGAAATATTGTACATCCAAAGAATTTGAAATAACATAATCAATAATACCTTTGGACCTTGACCTCTGATTTCTGTGACACGTTTATTGAGTTGAGTCAAGCCCAAGGTTGTACTGTTTGTCTGTATGACTAAGGTCACTGAAAATCCATCCAGAAAATAAGAATCAGGCTCCCAGAGCACAATGGAGTAAAGGAACAGCATATACTTCCACTGTAACTGTCAGTCATCTTTCCTAGCTCTACCTAGCTAACTACATCTGAAAACAAATCCCCATTAGCTTTCTTTGATTTCTTCCCAACATTTGCTCCTCTTCACATGCGCCGGAATCAGTGGTTCAAATTCTAAACTTCAATTTACATTTTAGTTTTTGGGTTTTTCAAGCACCTTATAAAAATTTAACTTAATGAATAGAAATTGCATGTCCAAGTGATTGCACTGACCTTGATTGTTTTAAAAAAATTAAATAAATCTTACTATTTGCATATTAATCCTCCCCTAGTATTTGTCTGAATTTCTGATTTGGAGTTTGTTTATTCTAGTATGGTATTACAATATTTATGATACCATTTACTTAATTTTTATTTACATTAAGGTTCTTAGCCTTCATAAGAGTTTGCACTAATCAGTACACACTTCAATTAATAAGTAATGGTGGAGCCCAGTTTTGTAAATATTCCTAACCCTATCCTGGCAAGCCATATCCAACCTTCAGGCCTAGCCCAGATCATATATCCACTATGCCCTCACAAACTGGTGAGTGCAGTGGAACCTAGATCACCTGTATTATCCCAACTTTAAGACATCTTATTTGCTGGGATAACTCTGAGGCACCCTAGAATCTAACATCAGACATACAATCAATGAAAGAAACCCACATTCCCTGGTCTCATTGCTAAAACACGATATCTACAGCCTAGTAGTGTGACCGCGTCCCACAAAATACACTACATTTACAGAAATATTTTACATTGAGAATGAACCTTAGGACACAAAACCTTTAAAACATCACAAAATTTTATCAAGAAATATGAAGAGTTTAAAGAATACATGATCAAACATCTGAAATAACATAAAGTAGTTCTTGAATGATGTTAGGTATAAATACACACACACACACACACACACACACACACACACACACACACACACACACACACGTGTGTGTGTATTTATATATGTTGCCAAATGATGAAGACAATTTAGAATTTGAAAACCATATTCAGGAAGAGAAAGAAATATTTAAGGGAACTCCAGCTGAAATGAAGATGGGATTGAAAGGTAACGAAAGATCAGAGGAAGGACAGATGAATGGATGAAGTAGATGATAGAATATTAGAACTTAAAGAAAAGTCAAAAGAACTGGGCCAGTCATGTAAAGAATGTAAAATGTAAGTAGGCACATACAGGAAAGCAATGTGCAAAACTGTGGTGTACCATGGAAGCACTAATCTTGGACTTTTAGGCATAGAAAAGGGAGAATATTTTATTCTCCTTCAGCTATTCAGATGGTTTCACTGGGAACAATAGTCTAGGTTGGTACTCATGGTCTTTTAGAATGTGAAATACATTGTTCTAGGCTCTTCTGCTTATTAGAGTTTCCATTCAGAAATCAGCTGTTAATCTGATGGGCTTTGTTTTATACTGACCTGTGGTTATATTTTGCAGCTCTTGGGATCCTCACTTTGTTCTATTTATTTAGTGTTTTAAATATATTACTTTATGAGTGTCTCTTTTCTAGTCTTGTCTATTTGGAGTTCTGTGTGCTTCTCCATCTGTTTGAGTATGTCTACCCTCAATATGGCGAAAATTTTCTATGATCTTTTTGGAAATATAGTCTAGGCCATTGAACTGGATTATTCTTCCTTCCCTCACCCTCCACCTGACCAAGCACCTCCTATGTTCTGTCCACTTTCTTGCTTTCAAAAAATAAACAAATAAATAAACAAAATCCCTTTAGAACATGCTCTTTTTTTATAAATTACCTTATACTTAAGGCATAGGAAACTTCATGCTGAATGTGTGTATAAGTTACTCTGATAAAGACCTAAATCTCCTGATTTTCTGAAACTTGAGTTACTGTTTTGAAAACACATTCTACTAGAAAAATGATCAAACCCCCTGTTGTGTCTATATTTTAAATACGTTTTTTATTAAAGCATAAACAGTTGGTTAATAATAATGATAATAGAAAATTATATAAAACTGTTTTATAATGTGCTAGTAGAAATAAAGACATAGATTAACACAAGCCTAATAATAAGAGGTGATTTCAATACCCCACTTTCTCCAATAGAAAAGTCATGTAAAAAAAAAGAAACATCAGAATTAAATGGCATCAAATATTAAGTAGACCAAATGGATTTCTGTAGAATATTTCACTAAAAACAAAAAATGCACATTTTATTTACCTTCTCTACAAGGGACAACAGCTTGGGACACAAAACAAATTTTAACAGATTCAAACAAACTGAAGTAACTCCATGTCTTTTACATATCACATGAATTACAAGCTTAAATTCAACAGCAAGCAATGCTCTAGTAATTATATAAACTCATGGATATTAAATAACACAATATTGTGTTATTCCTAATGATATTATGTTATGCTCATAGATTGATGCCAATATTATCAGAGAGGATTCATCCAGCAACTGACGGAAACAGATGCAGACCAACAGCCAACATTAGGCTGAGATCAGGGACTCCTGTGGGAGACGGGGAGCAAGGATTGTAGTAGCCAGAGGGGACAAGGACAACACAAGAAAACCCACAGAATTCATTAACCTGGGCTCATAGTGGCCCACAGAGACTGAACTATCAACCCTTATAAACCCTTTGCATGTATGCTACAGTTGTGTAGTTTGTTCTTCTTGTGGGACTCCTATGAATGGGAGCAGCAGCTGTCTCCGACTCTTTTGCCTGCTTTTCTGACCATTTCCCCCACTATCAGATCATCTCATCCAGCCTTAATACAAAGGTAGGTGTCTAGACTTACTGCAACTTGATATGCCATGTTTGGTTGATATCCATGAGAAATCTCCCCTTTTCTTGAGAGAAATAGAGGAATAGTGGATATTGGGGCAGAAGAGAGGTAGGGAAAGAACTGGGAGGAGATGAAGAAGAAGAAACAGTAGCCAGGAAGTAAAAATTAATAATAAAACATTAGAAACAGAAACTTCACTAAAAAACATCATCTACAAAGCTGGTATTACCTAAAACAGAAACCAGGTAAAGAAACAATATCAACTTTGCTTCATCCTATTCCCATGTGGTCTTCATTTATTGTGGTCTTTTATTCCTTGTTCTCCCTCTCTGTTCTTGATCCAGCTGTGATCTCCCGCTCCCCAAAGCTCTCTTTCCCTCGACCCTTGCCCTTCATTACCCCTAATCACATCCAGGTTCCTCATGTAGATCTCATCCATTTCTCTGTCATTGGGCGATCCCTGTGTCTTCCAGAAATCCACAAAGATACCTCCACAATAGACTACTGGCAATGGTCGAGAGAAAGTCTGAACTGACCTACTCTGGTGATAGGATGGCCAAGCACCCTAACTGTTGTGCTAGAAATCTCATCCAATGACTGAGGGAAGTGGATACAGAGATCCATGGCCAGGCCCCAGGTGGAGCTCCAGGAGTCCAATTGGTGAGAAAGAGGAGGGATTGTATGAGCAACAATTGTTGAGACCAAGATTGGAAAAAGCACAGGGACAACTAGCCAAACTAATGGAAACACACGAACTATGAACCAATAGCTGAGGAGCCCCCAACTGGTTCAGGCCCTCTGGATAAGTAAGATAGTTGACTAGCTTGAACTGTTTGGGAGGCACTCAGGCAATGGGACCAGGACCTGTCCTTAGTGCATGAGCTGACTGTTTGGAACCTGGGGCTTATGCAGGGACACTTCGCTCAGCCTGGGAGGAGAAGACTGGACCTGACTGGACTGAACCTACCATGTTGAGCTGAATCCTCAGGGGAGTCTTTGCCCTGGAGGAGAGGGGAATGGGGGGTGGGCTGGGGGGAAGGCAGTGGGGGGAAGGGGAAGGACAGGGGAATCCGTGGCTGATATGTAAAATTAAATTAAATTATAAAATAAAATAAAACAGAAACATCAAGAGGAGGAAGAGGAAGAGGAGAAAGAGAAACAGAAGAAGAGAGAGGAAGGGAGAAAGTGAAAGAAAAGGATAATAACATTAATGATATGGATGATTATGATAATTCTGGCCAATATACCTAATAAACATAGAGGGAAATAACCTCAATAAATACTTGTAAACTGCATATGGTCATATATCAAAAAAAAGTCATCCACCTGGATCAAGTTGGATTCACTTAGGAGATTCACAGGTGGTTCAATACATAGGCCAATAAACACAATAAATCATACAAATGATAAGAAATCTATAATCTGCTCATTATATGCAGAAAAGACCTTTGACAAAATCCAACATTGTTGCAGGATAAACCTTTTGAAAATTGTGAAGATATGTTGCTCTCATTCTTAATAAAAAGCTGACTGGCTGATGGATAGGCAGGATATTTGGTGCAGAGAGTATACTGGGGAGAAGAAGTATGGGGTCTGAGGGGTCATGAGGAGTTGCCATGAGATACAGAGTGAACAGGATGGCAAGTATGTGTATGAGGTAAATGAAGCTCAGGGCAGCACATACATTAATAAAAATGGGCTAATTTAAGTTATTAGAGCTAGCAAAAAATAAGCCTAAGCTATTGATGAAGCAATTACATTTAATAATTAGTCTCTGTGTGGTTATTTGGCAACTGACCGGTAAAACAGAAAAGTTTGCCTACATGTGGCACCCAAAGTAGGGTACCTAC